CAATAATTTCTTCAACATAGCCCCTAAGGCCATATTTGGGGGGCAAGAATGTAATGCCTTTTCCTCCAAAATGGTTACATTTACTTATTTCAAAAAATAGTGTGGATATTTAACAAAAAGGATAAGCTTCAGTTACTTAAAAAATTAACATATTTAAATTACCCGATTCCCCAGAGAAGCCGGAAGAACACAGTTACCATCTTTATTTTTTGTTGTTGTTTTTAAAAGCAGGGAAACACACACACAACTGTTATTGACTCAAAATAATGGGTTATAAAATTACTTTTCTGAGATCTGATTTTGATATCCATTATGGATATCAACGCAGCTTTAGCTTTGCTGGTTGCATCTCTAAGTGTCATCATATTGACTTCTGTTGTCTCATCATCATTATCCCAACCATGTGAGCTGTGGCCTTTGGCAACCTTATTTTTATAGTCAAAAAAAATTGAAGAGATCAGTATAGCTTGAAGTAGTAACTACAATGAATATACTGTGAATTCTGAATCTGTAACTATGAACAGTTGAATAGTATGTTACAGAAAGTCCTCATTCTCTGCTTTTATACATTTTTTGATTGGACAGACAATAAGGGCAGAGAATTCTTGGCATGGATGGGGGAATTTGGAACATGGCCTCTGGAAGGAAAAGTTTTCCAGAGGCTGATCCAAAGACAAAAACATAAGAAAAACTGGTTGTGGTTACTCTAGTATGACACAGTAATTAAATAAACTGAGTACATTGGTTCTCGCTTATCTAGTGTTTGTTGTTTATTGTTGTTAAGTGTCTTTAGGAGTCAGTTCCAACTTGTATGCTATTAGAAATGTTTTACTTGTTTCTTATTTCTCACTACTGCTCTCTCAATGACTTCTTTGCAGTCATTTGGAGAATTGTTACATAAGCCATTATTGGTGGATCTCACTGTTGAGGAAGGCCAGAGGTTGAAAGTGATCTATGGATCTTGTGCTGGATTCCATGCTGTTGATGTAGATTCCGGATCCGTCTATGACATTTATCTACCAACACACGTAAGAAAGAACCCACACTCTATGGTTGGTTGACTGGCTTCATTTTGTTTTCACTTTTTTCTTTACGCTGCTTAGTGAACTAACACAAGCAGGGATTCCTCACTTCCCCGTGGTGTGGGGGTGAGTATTTATATGAGACGCCATTTTCAGTAGGTTCCTTGTTTTGAGACAAGTAGAAATCCACTTTCCAAGTGCTCCAAAGCCCTTGCTTTGACTAACACGGGATGGATTTGGGGCCGTTGCTGACAAGTCAGAGGGTTCCTGGATTGGGAGCATGTCTATGTACATAACTTCTCAAATGGGGCCCACAATCACAAATGTTCCAGGGTCCATAGAGTATACAACCTGTTAAAGATAAACTTTGGGATGTATAGCTTGAGGGTTCTCCAGAATGTTGTATATTTGCTGTCCTTAGCAGCAGGAATCTGGTAGCAGTGCATGCACCATTGACAGTCTTGCTGGGCGCCTTTGTTGGGCTGGAAGTAACCACAAAGATGTTTCCCTGTACTGGTTCCTCCTCTCTAGATCCAGTGTAGCATCAAACCCCATGCAATCATCATCCTCCCCAACACAGATGGCATGGAGCTTCTGGTGTGTTATGAAGATGAAGGGGTTTATGTGAATACATATGGCAGGATCACTAAGGATGTGGTTCTACAGTGGGGAGAAATGCCAACATCTGTAGGTAAGTATCTCTCAGGGGAAAGCAGCGCAGTCTCAAAACTGGACCACTTTCTCTAAAGTTGCATATATTTACATATAATTGGGCTACAAACAGTTTACTAAAAAAATGCGGCAGTAAAAGATCACGGAATTTTTTTACGAACTTTTTGGAGCCCCCTTGTATCAACATATCTTCATAGCAGTTTATCTTATGTCAATATTTGTTTTTTCCTTTCTCATAAAGCATATATTCGATCTAACCAGACTATGGGCTGGGGAGAGAAGGCCATAGAGATCCGATCTGTGGAAACTGGACACTTGGATGGTGTGTTTATGCACAAAAGGGCTCAAAGACTAAAATTCTTATGTGAACGTAACGACAAGGTAATAATTTTCTTTTGACTTTTTCTTATTTGCCACTATTGTTTAGTGATGGCCTCATACCCTTAGAATTTGGTGTGAAGTCTTCCTTTGCGATTTTGATAGATTCTGAGATAAATTCATCAAAGGATTTTTAGAAGTAGCCCTGTAGACACGTTAAGAGGAACTTGGGATATATTTTGTTTTGTTTTTGCCTTGAGAGACTGGAAGTATTTCTCTGTAAGTCATCACATGTTGGTTTTATTTATTTTTTTCTGTTTTTAACCTCATAAGGTGAACTGTCTAGCTGTATTTGAATTAGGATAACTGAAGGTTACCCATAACCATTGCCATTGAGCCAGTTCTGACTCGTGGTGACCTTGTGTGCGCCAAAGGGATTTCAGTGTCTAGTTTCTTGGAAGTAATTGGCCAGACATTTCTTCCAAGATTCCTCTGAAATCTCTAGCCTTTTGGTTATTTTTATTAAGTGCCATCGAGTCATTTCCAACTCATAATGACCCTGTACAGGGTTTCCAAGGAGCAACTGGTGAGTTTGAACCACCAAGCTTATGATTCAAACAGACCTTGCAGTCCAGGGCTTTATCCCATAGTGCCATGCCAGGACACCAGAGCCTTTTGGTTAACACTGTTGATTTAGGTGAATGGGATGATTTTGTGACTGGAAGGAACTGCCCATGCAGTTTGGGGTAAATGGTTTCCCTCTCTCGATAGGAGTCTGACAGAGAAATAACATTTGTTAGTCTGCTTTAGAGCAGTAAAACAGTGCTGTCGTTGGCATGTCATAAATGCCCAACAATAGACATCGTTCTTATATGCAGAAGCACCAACACCTCCTGCAGCTGAGACCTTAAGGTGACAGAACCCCAGTTAAAGCCTCGGCCTTTCACAACTGCTCAGAAGCTACCCACTCCCTGTGAGTCCCTCCCACAACCAGCCTTGAAGTGGAGGGATGAGCAGATGGCCAAGTTCCTGTCCTGTCTTAGTCTGCTTTGGGAAGGGCATCTCAGGAGGAAATGATTTCTAACATGCCCACCATTCTTTCTTGCCTGCCCATCTGGAGAAAGGCATGTCTTACCAGCCAAAACTACAATATGTCTTTAGAAACTTGCCTCTTAGAAATACCTCCACCTTTTCCTCACACTGAAGTATATCATTCCTCCTAGCAACCATCCCATAGGTCAACTTCTGGGATATTAAACAAACAGATTTGACATGGGGAAGGAGGGCTACACATCTTTCTTTGGCATCTCTCCTGCCTTCCTTGTGCTAAGCACACACGCTCCCTCTCTGCCAGCTGTCTTTCTCCTGCAGGTTTACATCTCGTTTGCATCTTTCTCTTACATAACATCTCCCTAATCTGTTACCCGGGAAAGTCCATACGGCCCCGGACTGAATTTAAGATTTTGTCAGCTGTGTGGCTTAGATTTTCCCAAGTATATTAAATGTAGTCATAACTGTAAGATTTTTTGAATTTCAGACATTTAAATATGTTTATCCTTTTGATGTTATCTCTTAAGATTTAGTGGTACAAGGCACAGCCATAAAATAGATTACTTGAGTGATGAGTCAGATGAAGTAACTTATATAGTTTTGCTTAGTTGTTGAAAGGAGAGAGAAAATTAAAAATTAGATTCCTGAAGAATCCTCCCATGGCTCGTTGAAGCTTTCAATAATATCTTTTAAAAGATAACAGGTAGAGGTGGAAAGAAATAGCCCATTTTCAGAAACATCTTTTTCTCTCCCCTCCCTTTGAGTTCTCACAGTGTGACATTATACAAGAAGTTACCTGGCTAGTAAGCCTTCTGACTGGTTAAAGTTGACCCCAGTCCAGATTTTCTTGAGAAATGGCTCTTTGAGATTTTATACTTCCAGCATTTGGATCTGTTGAGGGAGGCTTTGGGTAACTTGACTGGGGAGCCCTGTGAAGCAGCATTGCCCCCTAGGAATGTGTTGTGTCACATGGTAAACAGCCTTCTCCTCTCTCTCTCTGTCCACAGGTATTCTTTGCCTCTGTCCGGTCCGGCGGCAGCAGTCAGGTGTATTTCATGACCTTAGGCAGGACTTCCCTTCTGAGCTGGTAGGAGCGTGGCCATCTGAGGAGTGCTGGCCTCCAGAGTCCTCAAGATCCTGAGAACTTGGAATTCCTTGCAACTGGAGCTCAGACTGCAGCAGAGCAGTCCAGGACAGCTGTGTTTGCAGACCTCCCACGTTGGGCCCTGTCTCTCCTTTCCTGTCTACTCCTCCTCCCAGTTGACCACCCCATTCTCTTCTTTTCCTTACTGAAAAATAAATCAAGGCTGCAATGCAGCTGGTGCTGTTCCGATTCGACCATCAGGTGCTATCAGTGTTTGGGATTGAGCATCAGACTAGAGCAGACAGACGCCTTTCCTTCAGCCCCAGAATTCCTTGTCTCTGAACGGCTCTGTTGTCTGGGTGGCTGAGTGAAGGTGGAGACGATGTACATGCTGTTGGTTTTATTGGAAGTCGGCACAAGGAGGTGAAAAGTGGTGATCTGGAAAGCGGTTTGCTGAAACAGAGAGCAGATTTAATATAGTAACATTAACAATGTATTTAATTGACATTTCTTTTTTTGTAATGTGACAATATGTGGACAAAGAAGAAGGTGCAGGTTCCAGAAGTGAATATTTATAAAATGTGAAAGTCACAGTTACTAGGATAACTTTTTTTGTGGGTGGGGCTTGGGAGGCGGGGTGGGTGGGTTTCAGGGGTGCCATTTTGTTTCTTGGGTTTGTTTTGTTTTTTTGGTTTTTTTTTTTTTTTTGGCCTGGCCAAGAACTCAAGTCATTTTCTGTGTACCAGGTTTAGCCTAAATCATGTGCAAATGGTTCTTTAAAAAAAATGAAAGAAAGAAAAAAGAAAATTTGTGCATTTTGTTAGATTGCCAGAACTTTGTGGCATCAAAGTATTAGCACTGCCTCAGCCTCATTGAAGGTTTAATTTCTGTTTAAACCTAGAAGTGCAACAACAGTTTTACCACAGTCTGTACTTGCAGAAAAAAGAAAAATTACAAACCACATTTATTTTTTATTTTTTTGGCCTACCTCATTGTTTGAAATGCATTAAGAGGTGGTTTAGTTTACGTTTTTGGAGGAAAACGTTAATATCTAATATAATCGTGATACCAAAACCGTCCAATTGAAGCTTGCCTGCTATTTTGCCACAAGTCTTCAGCAGGCACAAGAAAAATTATCCTTGCAGATGATGGGAGGGCAATAGCCTGATGGCTTTCTGATGCTGACTGATTGATGCAATTTGCTTTCTCAAGTTAGGAAGCCGAATGCTTCGTTTTTACCAGATTCACCCTCAGTGATTGATGGGCAACGGCAGTGGCCTGCAACACAGAGTTCTCCTTCTCCAATTCAGGGTTCAGTAGCAGGCAGGTGGTCACATTAGAATAGCCACACAAAACTGTGCAGTGTTGTATGAACCTTTTCTCGGGGTAGGGCTACTTCCCTTTTCTAAAATTGCAATGCACTAAAACTATTTTACGAATGTAGTTAATATTGCTTATTTCTAAAACTCCAAGCCCTGACTTTTCTGACTTTCACGTGCTCTCCTAGTCTCTTGTTGGTTTTTTGTTTTGTCTTTTAAACCAGTCTTAGTTTTAGGAAAATGTCTGTGACATTTGTAATAGATGTTCTGAGTAGTAATTTGTGTGATGGCATCATGGCCACCCCTCAGTTCCTCTGTGTATGTTAATCCCTCGATGAGGTAACTGTGCAGTGTAACGACTCTGACGTGTCTTCCTGTTTTCTTTTGTTGAGTTTTGAGTTGAGAATGCTGCATGGTGGCTGCCCTCAACTGTTCATTCACCAGATAGAAGCTTGAGCTTCCTTCTTTGTGGTTAACTGTCTTTTCTGACATTAAAATGGGAGATTTTTTTCTTTGTTTTGTTTTCCTCCAAAAATGTAAGTCATTGACACCTGTTTGCCAAGCCTGTACCCAGCTTTCTTGGCCCATTTGGCATCCATTTTGATTGCTATCATTCCCGTCCCTCTGGTTCAGCAGTTTTGCCAAAGGTTCTCCTTTGAGCTACAAAACTTTGGTTAAAAATACATATATATGTATACGTGTGTATATGTATGTATATATGCATATTTAGTGTGCTCACAGCAGCAGCAGCACAGCACTAAAACCCCATGCACTCACAAACACAAGCACAATGATGGTTACTGAGCACTCAGAGACCAGATGACAGAATACCTGACTTTTCTTGTGACGAGACAAGGAGAGAGAAACAGTAGCTTGCCCCTCACCCCCATTTGTATGATTCTGGAGCAGTGCTAATGCCCAAAGCAGAAAGAAATGGTTCTTTCTATTCATTTAGAGTTAATACAGAGAAGGCTGAGCAGTTCATCCCACCTTTGGAAGGACTTTGAAATAAGCCAGAGTTCATTTCTATAGGACTTCATTCAAAAGCAAGTTCCTGCTGACACTCTCCTCTACCTTGTGTGTATTTGCTCTGGTCAAATGCAATGTGCCACAGGAATAACACGGTGTCCGTAGCAAGAGAATAAAGAACCGGTGGCTTGTTTAATCCTGGCCCCCTCCCATGGCTTTAGAGAGAAGTGAAAGGTGAGCAGGTGTCTCTGAAGAAATAATAACATTTCTGATGCCAATAGTGAAAAATAAAAATGGACGAGATAGTGCGGCATCCTTGTCTGACGTTAATTTTCCACAGACGTACAGCTCTAAGCGTGGTAACTCAAGCGGTATTGTGCAGAATGCAAATGGTGTTTCATTGGAATGAACTACTGAGTGTTCAGAAACTGGATTCCCCTTACGAGGTCACAACAGTGGGGTTTGGCCTCAAGAATTGTAGCTGTCATAGTTTTCACACCACCAGGCACCCAGTTGGCAGTCTCTTGGTGTTTGAGTTGAACTTAATTGCTGGGCTTAATTACTGAAGCCAAACATTTGTCCTTGTAGGCCTGGGTTCCTGGTGATGCTCTCCTTGGCTGGTGCAGTCCTTGTTCCCTTCTTAAATAACCAACTGTTAAACCAGATGGTGTTGCATAGCTTGATGCAGGTGCCCCGTTAGGTTTTTCCATGAAAGACTGTGTGCTTTTGAAATTTCAGATGCTTTTGGAGAAGGAATGTCCTCCCCCCACCCCCGCATCCCCTTCTACAGGGTAGTAACTTTTCCACAGAAGTGCCAAGGTGGCAGAATTCCTAAAGGAAACAGTATTATGGTGAAGCTGTTAGCACATACGGAACATTGACCTCTCATGAAAGCAGTGCTCCTCAAAACAAAAACACCGATGTTGTCTCTAGGCTTAGTTAAAAGCTTTAATAAATAATACCTTTGTGTATTTAAACCAGAGTAACTCTTTTTGTACTGAGTGCGTGTTTTTACTTTTCTTCCTCATGCACATGTTATGTTGGAGAAAATGTTTACAAAAACCGTTTTTGTTTTTTTTACACTAATGTGCATCACATATTTATGGTTTATTTTTAAGTGATTTTTTTTTAATGGGTTATTTAGGTTTTTGTCTTAGTTATAGTACACTTTCGGTGATTCATAATCCCTAATTCTGCCAATTATAAATTTGCTAAATAGTAATACAAATGACAAACTGCATTAAATTTACTAATCACAGCTGCAAAGCAGACTGGTGGCAAGTACACACTCAGCCTTTTTCCCACCCCTCCCGCAGTGCTAACTTGTCTTCTGTGTATTATGAAAATTATTGTTGGCCCTCTCCCACCCTTTTTTGCTCCCTTAAATAAAGTAAAATTGACACCTATTTTATGTGGCCTGAGTTTCTAGTATGTTCTGATCCTTCAGAATGTTGGATGCCCATTGGATGCATACCTCCTTCCTCCCACAATGCCGCAGTCAGAGGTCTGGATGGGCAGCCACCAGATCCCGCCATTTCACATAAAGGACTCACCCAAAGTATCATCAGATGTGGATTATGAAAACTGCAAGCATTTGTCCAAAGATCTCAGAGATGAAATAGCTGGTGAGCTTTCTACTGCCACGTTCCTGAAGCCATTTAAATAGGCTTATATGGAGCTCTGGTAGCGTAGTGGTTACAAATCGGGCTGCGAACCTTAAGGTCAGCGGTTTGAAACTACCAGCCGCTCCGCGGGAGAAATATGAGGCTTTCTACTCCCGTAAAGATTTACACCCTCGGAAACCCTGTACAGGGTCGCTATGGGTCGGACCCGACTCGATGGCACTTAACAACAACAACAACAATCCATACAGAAGAAACGAGGTGGTAGCTTTGCAAGTCTAAATTAGATTGAAAGTAGCTGATTTCTCTAATGGGACAATTAAAATGCAGTTGACCCTTGAACAATAATAGGTTTGAACTGTGCCTGTCCAGTTAGGGGGGATGAAAGGGTGAGGAGCTAGTAGTAATAGGAGAGACCAACTGCTCATGTTGGAATGAGTAGCATCACTGAGCGTTTACTCACAACACTTGATAAAGTGCTGACAAGTTAGTTCTGAATCAGCGACTCTGCACAGGGTTTCCAAGGCTTTAAATCTTTGAGGGAGCAGAACGCCTCAGCTTTCTCCTGCAGAGCGGCTGGTGGGCTTAAACCATGGACACTGTGATTTGCAGTCCAGTGCTTGTTAAATGGTGCCTCATGCTCCTTGCTCAAAAACACTTCACTTTTTTTGTTGTTGTTAGGTACTGTTGAACTAGAGTTCACCCTAGTAACTAACATTCACCCATGCAGTTCAAACCCTTCTTGTTCAAGGGTCCTGGTGTTGAAGAGCGTTACAACTTGGACTGCTAATCACAAGGTTAGTGGTTCAAGTCCACCAGCATGTCTGCAGGAGACAGATGAGGCTGTCTGCGCCGATCAAGACTGACAGTATCAGAGACCTTTATGGATCAATTCTACTCTGCCCTCTAGAAGAGGCAACTTCTCAGTGGCAGCGACTTTAATTTGGTTTTAATTCCTTCATTCAAGGGGCAACTATAGTCCTTTCTCAAATGGTTTCATACCAGTCAAGTGGATTCAAACTCATCACTCTGTGTCTGCCAGAGTAGAGCTTGTTCCCCAGGGTTTTCAGTGGCTGATTTTTCCTAAGTACATTGCC